CTTGTATGGATTGAAACAAGCTCCAAGACAGTGGTATAAGAAATTTGACTCGTTTACGGCGAGCCATAGATATACCAAGACTGATGCAGATCATTATGTGTTCGTTAAGAAATTTCCAGGTGATAGATTCATTATCCTTTTGCTATATGTAGATGATATGTTGATAGTTGGACAGAATATGAAGCTGATTGGTGATTTGAAGAAGGAATTAGCAAAGTCCTTTGAGATGAAGGACTTGGGCCCTGCGAAACAAATTTTGGGCATGCAGATCAAGCGAGACCGAAAATCCAAGAGGTTATGGTTATCGCAAGAACGGTATGTGAATCGGATTCTGGAGAGATTCAACATGAAATCGGCTAAGCCGGTCAATACACCGTTAGCCAATCACTTCAAGCTCAGCAAACAAAGTTGTCCTACGAGTCAAGAAGAAAAAGAAGCTATGGCGGGTGTTCCATATTCCTCAGCAGTCGGGAGTTTGATGTATGCCATGGTCTGTACTAGACCAGATATCGCTCACGCGGTTGGAGTTGTTAGCAGGTATCTTTCCAATCCTGGGAAGGATCATTGGGAAGCTGTGAAGTGGATCTTGAGGTACCTAAAAGGCAGTGCAAATAAGTCCTTGAGCTTCGGCAAAGGAAACCCAATTCTTGAAGGTTATACAGATGCGGATATGGCAGGTGACCTTGATAGTAGAAAGTCTACTTCAGGGTTTGTGTTTAATTTGCAGGGGGAGCTGTATCTTGGCAATCTAAATTGCAGAAATCTGTTGCCTTGTCGACTACTGAAGCAGAGTATATTGCAATGACAGAAGCAGGAAAAGAAATGCTTTGGTTGAAGAGGTTTCTTCAGCAATTGGGAATGAAGCAGGAAAGGTACGATATCCATTGTGATAGTCAGAGCGCATTAGATTTAAGTAAAAATGCGATGTACCACTCGCGCACGAAGCACATTGATGTCAGATATCATTGGCTACGTCAAGTTGTGGAAGAACAACAGTTCAAGTTGGAAAAGATTCACACTGATGAAAATCCTGCTGACATGATGACGAAAGTTGTAACAGGAGGAAAGCTTCAGCTTTGTGCCGAGTTGATCGGCATGGAATGCATGTGAAGATTGGCAGAATATTTCCTTTGGCTGGAGGGGGAGAACTGTCATATCCAGCCAAACCACATGAAAGCCAAACACAACAAAACAAATTAAAAGGAATCAGTGACTGGTCGGAAAAAGTGTGTGTTTTATATATTTATTAGTGTATTTTTATATGCTATACTTTATTGCACTTATATATTTTTTTGACTTATTTATTTATTAGATGGATTCTTCTACTTTGATATTTTTATGTTTTATTTTTAGGATATTAAAGTATTTTATTGACGAAATGGAGATGGGCTACGCAATGACACAATTGGGCTAAGGCGTGGAGGAGTGTCAATTTTTTAAAGTCTAACTCACATTGACCAAGAGGGAATAAATTGGTGAAAGGAAAACTAATGTATTTGGGCTGGGAGAAAGTCTCAAGCAGCTGACACTCACAAATTAAATTGAAACAAGGACTCCCGCAGGTGGATTGGCAACTTCAGGAATTAAAGCCCAATGAATTATTTAGTCTTGCTGGGAGGAATTATTTGGAATTGGAAAAGGCACTCCACAATGGGGATATATATTTGGGCAGAGTATAAAAAGCTGGGAGATTCACGCAGCCGGGGGATGGGAGATTCACGCAGAAAGACAAACACGCAGCCACAGAGGGTCGCACGAATAGAACT